GAAAAATGTTGGTGAATAACCATAAAAATCAGGTCTGAAATACATGGGAGCGGGTCTAAGTCTCTGGACGGCGCCATATTAGCTGCCATGTTTCCTTCTACAGGAGCCTGTGAGGACAAAATACATTTACTGATTTGTAACAAACGTTTACAAAACTTTCGTCATTCTTAAATGTTGTTGTTTGACACATTTACCTCTTCACTTGTTAGCAGTGATGAAAGGGAGTCTGATGTGCTTGTTGTTTTGCTAAAGTTTGCACCTTCAGGGCTTTTTGACCCTAATGGCCATCCGTTGGTAAGGTCTTACTCCAACACAAAAATACTGCTTGTTTGCAATGATTTAGGTATCTACTGCCCCCTATTGCCAGGAAAAATACACACTGTCACTTTAACTTAAATCGTTTCTTCATGAAAATTTGTAAAATTAGCTCCATTTTCAATCATCAAAACAGAAAGGAAAAAAAGTCTCCAAACGTGTGATAAAAAATTCAATCTCTTAACTCATATAGAGGATTTTTAAACATCCTGTATAAAATTAATATTTTCTCTCAAAGAGTGAAAACGTTTTGTAATGACTCATTTCCTGACCAAAACCTGAAAAAAAAATTTAACTTCTGTGCTGATATTTGAAAACCAGCTTTTACTGGGAAAATGGTGTTTTCATGAAATTCTAAGTAAACATAGTGGAAGAGGAGAAACATAAATAATGCATGACAGAAGATCTAATCCCATGATGTTTCAGGGCAATCATTTACAAACGTTTTATTTAGCATCCAATTTGAATAAAAAGTAAATGCTTAAATGTGGTAAAAAGAATATAAAATTAAACAAAATGATCATTTTTGGAATAATGCAGCTGTTGTGCTTTTATTCTCACACCAGAAATCCTTGGTTCTTCACAGCTACCTAAAAGTTGGCAAAAGGGATGAACATCGTCAAATATTCAGAACATTTAAACAAATATGATAGAAAACTGTAGGTTTTGAACAAGTGAGCTTCAAAAGTGATACAAATTCATCCATTTGTTGATATATAAACCCAAAAATATCAGAACGCTGCTACACTGTGCGACTTTTTCCACTTTTTTGAGCCGATTTTCCACTCGTGCGAGAATCCACAAGATCGGGGCGAGTTTTGCGCTGAGCGTCGTGACCAGCTACCGATCAGCAATCGTGAGCTCGCACGGACTTCTGGAGTGTTTGATATTTTGCTCGTTCCTCGTGAGGGTTGAAGCGGCGCAGCGAGTGGCTGCGACCCAAAAAGTACCAGAACCGCTCACGGCGCATGCGTAATCACGCGTCAACACCTCTCACCGCTATTTCCCTAATAACACATGTTGTTCGTTTGTATTTCTACACATTTTTTACACACAATGACATGGATTGTCAATAAAGCGTGTTTGTCGTGTTCATATCAAATTAAATTGATCACAAAACACTGATTTACTTTCTTTATTTCATTTTCCTCATCCAACCCCTATAAATCCCTGTGTGTCCTCCTGCAGCACTCCCGAAGGACAACAGGCAAAACAAGACAGAAAAGTCTGGCGTGTTGTGTAAAAACGGCTATTTTTAGCATATTTTTAAGTCCGACGTGTTGCTACCAGACGTACAGTGTGAGCACATGACTCGTGAGATCTGCCCTGCTAGGAAGTCATACAGTTTGAGCTGAAGCTGAGTGCTATGAGTGAAAAAGTCGCACAGTGTCCGCCCAGCTTAAGACAGTCTGCCAGAACCAAAGACCCATGATGCCAGAGGGAACAAGATAGCGCTAAACACCAGTCGCTGTTTGACTTCAAATGGTGTTTTTTGGGGGGACTCTGGCTGTTTGTCCTAAAGTTGAAGTGGTAGCAGCTGGCTGTTTCTCCTTCTCTGATATTACCCAGCCACAAACCTCTCACACCAGTCACGTAAATCCGTGAGTGCTTAATGAATGAAGGACCGAGGGAAGTGCGGCAGTTCAGTGAGACCGACAACTGAATGGTCCAATAGTTGCGTTTGGTCAGGAATGTTTTATTGGCGAAGGTTTTTAGACAATTGCAAGAAAAACATTTCATTCTTTTTTTTTTCTTTTTTTTATCTATACAATACATTTATAGATATACTATCTCTGAATGTTGTTAAGAGGCATGAAAAAATGTTTTAAGCTTACTTTTTTTCCAATTTTATTTAGCTTCAATCAAGGCTTTGTTTCTCTGGAAGAAACTCAACGATTCTCCAGCCCTCTCCTTATGAACCTCGGGATCATTAAGCCGCTGAGACTGAGAGGAGATTGGCGGTCTAATTAATGTATGTTATTTCTCTCTGAAAGGCCTTGTTATGCTGTCCTGCTTACACACAGACCAGGGTTTTGTCTGCCGCTCTCAGACTCTGGGTGAAGAACATGCTGCCTGGAGCCGCCTGGCCGTCCGTCTGCACTCGTCAAACCGGAGGTGAAGAGAACATGAAGGGCTTTAGTCACCGCTGAGGGACGACGTTCAGCTGGAGATGCTCCGGCCAGCA